CATCCTTCAATATCTATACAACCTAATGTTACCCATGGTATACTTATTTTCTAGAATTAGCTAAAAAAGGAAACTCATCATATGATTATAAAATAAAAATTTCTATCAACATCAGAACAGTTAATGATTAATGTCAAATTATATGTACATACAGATGTACATATACATGTGTAGCTATATACACATGAATGAATACATACATATGTAGGTATGTATGTATACTTATGGGTGTATATAAATACATATAAGTATATACTATTACATACTGATATATATGCTAATATATGTCTTATAGAGTGAAATATTTTATAATTAACTATTGTTATCCTAAAGGAAGTGGTATAGAAATAAGTTTTCTCCAGGTAAAAGCAACTTCTGCTAAATAGTTTAGTTACTAGGGAAAAAAAACAAAAGGAAAGAGTATTTCCTCTGTTGAGTAATAGAGCTCTAATTTAAAGCCAAATGGGTTTAATGAAAAAGTCTTTAATACATTGTATAAATCTTTCTGAGAATGAAATAAAGATAGCAAAAGGATATACAATAAAAAATTAAAACTTGAAAAATAAACAATATGAGTTGGTTCTTGTCTATAATCCCAACACTGGAAAGGCTGGGGCTAAAGGATTATTAAAGACCAGCTTCAACTCATCTCAAAAAATAAAGGCCCTGTTTCAAAAACAAAAAACACTAAATGAACAAAAATAACAATCTCTGAAAACAAAAGCCAAAACACAATCTCTAATGATCACATCATTTAACATAGACTCAACTTCTTCACAATTTTCTTCATTCACATCTTTGCCATGGTCTCATCATTGGTAGTATCGACTTGGCCCAGCCCTTGACTAAGCTATTTCACTTGTATGGTAGCACATGCCACATGGTCCAGGTAAATAATTTACTTCCTAACGAGGCTCCATGCATTGGTGACTCACACCTATAATCCCAGCTTCTCAGAAAGCAGATATTGGGAGGATCTCTGTTCAAGGCCAGCCTGATGAATGAACTTGTAAAATTAGCAAGACTCTACCTCAACCAGTTGCTAGGCATGGTGGCATGTACCTGTCATTTCAGGTACTATGAGGGAAGCATAAATAGGGTCATCACTTTCAAGGCCCTAGTTATTTTGTTCAAGTGGTAGAGCACCTTCCTAGCAAATGAGAGGCCCTGAGTTCAACACCCACTACCACCAAAAACAAAGCACCAACAAAAATAATTCACTTTCTGCACAGGATTTGATACTCAATTATTTTCTCAAAATTTTTATTTTAAGAATAATAGATAACCAATCAAATTGATTTGGAACTGAACAACAAAATATTTTATTAAAATCTATAATCCAAGATAATATAAACTAAAAGATGAATATCTTGTCGCATTATTAGTAGTTTGAATTAATTAGAAAGTGAGACTATCAATGAAATGTAAATCTTGGCAGAAGACTTACATTATGTTTGGAATCTGAGTTTGAGGTTTTTATTTTCATTCAGAAACGCTAAAAATATTTTAAAAGAGGTGAATTGCAAAATCTAAACAGAGTCTGGCTGAGGAAGAAGAACGCTGCAATAGGACAACACTTAGAAAGTGTTTCATGATGCTTCTTCTAGTTGTCCCTAGAATTTGCCCCTACCTCACTCAGGCTCATGCATAAGGTAAGATTGTTAAAGCAGAAAAGCAGAGGCAAGACTCTTCATTTCCAAAGTCTTGGTTCTGGTGCATTCAGGGTGCAGTAACTATGGAATGGCATGTGAGTAAGACTGCCGGTTATAGAGAAATAAACTTAGGAAAGAACACAATATAATATTTTGTGCATGTGTGTTCATACCTAAGCCTGGCCCAGATAACTTAGGAGACTCAGAGAGCCAGGATACTGGTGACTCTTGGTAGAGCCTACTTAGGGAGTAATACTCTGAAGTTTTTCTGAACCACAGCAAGGTTTACGGGAGTGGCCTCTGCTCTCTACACTACATCACACTCCACCAAGGAGGTTCCATGATTGCTATGTCAGTCCTAATAACCAGATTCAGAAGATTTCCTCAGAACCCCAATAAAGGAACAAGAGTACACAGAAAGTGTTGCTGGTTTTGTCCTTAGATGTCTAATCCTAAGTGAGAGTTAGTTGAAACAAGCTGAAAATATGACAAGGCAGAACAGTGATGGAAAGAGGAAGCAATCAGGGAGAAAGGACGTGGAGAAAATGAGAGGACACAAAAATCAACTGAGTCCCTATTTTGCCATGAGCACATCCAGACTACTTTTAGCAATCCAATGTCCCAGAAGTTAACTACCATTACAGTAATGTATCAACCTTAAGAGTTTTCATCATCCAACAAAACTCCTTAAGGACAAATACTTTTTACTATCTCTGTAAAATGAAATGATTGGTTTATATGGTCTATGCTGAATCTAAAAAAAAATAAAGAAAATGATTTGCCACCTACCCATTTCTTAGTAAATGATTTGGAGAAAATTATTAACTTGCCTCCAAACCAAAGCTTATCTGGGGAAGTATCTAAAAACAAAACAGAACCCAACTATTTCCCTCATCTATTTATTTCAAATCTTGTACCTATGTTAAAACAAATAAACAAAAAACAACAAAAGAAACTCTTCATCTTTATTTCCATGAAGTCAGAGCTGCTTTGTTCAAATCAGCTCTTAAATGTAAAGTAAGATCTGTTTCTGGTGCCACTTTCTTGTTGAGGCAAGTTAGTCAAAGTTTGTGGTTTTTCCACTCATTAGGAATTCATTTTGGCATTGATAACGCTTCACTGATCATTATGAGTCTGGGTGCCGCTGTTGATTTCACTTGTTTATGTGAATGTCCCCTCTGAGAGGGTGCTTTCTCTCTGCTGAGTACTCTTTAGGCATTCACTCAGGACCTCTCCACAAAGTCCTTTCTTGGCTGGAATGCAACAGGAGCTCTCCCTGTTCCTGTTGACTTTTTCACAGTCAAGATTACTCATCACAGCTGAACACTGAGTAACAATAGATGGGAAATGGTTTCCACTTTTTTCCATAGACTAAAACCCCAATTGCTTTGCAGCAAAACTTTCTGAAGGAAATCTTACATGAACAAGTCAATATACACGAAACCAGATGCCATCCTACTAGCCTATTGTGTTTCTTCACACATAATTTGTCGCAAGAATTAATTAATTAATTCATCCAACATTGATCACACTGTAAAATTTTCTCTACCATTTCTAGTTAAAATTGAAGCTGCTTTGTTCAAAAAATTGTGTTTTAAGTACCCTCGTTTGATCAGTGCATGCATATTAAAATAGCACACTGTACCCTATGAATATGTACAGTTATTACATCTTAGGCACATACAGTTAACCCCAAAAATAGATTGCCTTGTGTGTGTGTGTGTGTGTGTGTGTGTGTGTGTGTGTGTGTGTGCTAGTAACAGGGCTTGAATTCAGTGTTTTGTACTCTTGCTTGGCTTTTTTCAAGACTGGCTCTCTACCACTTGAGCCAAAACTCCACTTCCAGCTTTTGTCTAATGAACTTTTCTGCTAGATTTGCTTCAAATCATGATTCTCTGATCTCCTGGCTCTTTCTTGGTCAAGTCTTTTGGGTTCCATTTTCTGTTTCCACCTCAAGCTTCTATCCCTATTCTGTTCAGCTAGTGCTTTAAACTTAATCTGTTCCCCTTAACGTGTAGTCTCAGACTTTTTATTTTGAGAAATTACATATGGACCCATAAGTAATCCATCTGTGTTGGATAGGGAATTTGGAAGGTCAATTTCCTGACAACCTGTAGCACAAAATAAAATAAAATGACTAATTACATTTCAATTTTTCTTGTGCTGCTTTGTAATAAGAGGAAGAGAAAGAACCCCACAATCAGAAACTCATGGATATTTTAATTCCTAACATTATTTAAAAATCTACTCCATTTGTAGAAAACTCTAGTATCATCCCAGAGCTAAATAGGCTTAAATTCTCTGAAGTTCTAACTAAATTTGTCTACAAATGAAACTAGTCAATATTTTCAAATTATGGCATAGCCTATTAGCATAAATTTCTTTTGTCCCAGAAAAGATCAATTGTAAATAAAATTCAAGCCGAGGTTTTATTCTTAACATTTTTATTATCTTTAAAATACTTCTACCAGAGTTTCGATTCAACACGTTAATTTATTGTAAAATACATCTTGATCAGTGTGACGGCTTCCATCATCCCCCCCCCCAATACCTATCCCAGCCACCCATTCCCTCAAGTTTAAGTTCCGTTGTTTTCACAAATGTACATTTGACATGATCACTGTACTACATCCGCCCTCCATGTCTCTGCCTCCCTGTCCTTAACTCCTCGGCCCATTTTAGTTTCTATTTTTGAAGATATTTCAGGGCTGGTGGGAATTCTTCAATGCCTTAACTACAAGTGTCCATCCACCTACTGGATGTAAACGGGTGTCAACCCAAATCCACACACACACACCCACACACATTCCTTCTTTTGAGTTTGGATGTAAGACGTACCTCCCAGTTCTGGGATTTCTCTCTCATGTGACATAGGGAGACTAATGTGATTTAGGCAGCAATGGAATATAGGCTCTGGGGGAAAAAAAAACCTGACTTAGGACAAGGAAGAATTGTTTTAGCTGTCCCTGATTCCCATACCGGGCATCTCTGCAGCGGGCCGGCTCCCTCTCCACCCCTGCTGAGATGATGCACAAGGAAAACATTCGCTCTCTCCGGGACGCCTCTGCTTGGTTTAAGGTTGGGAAAATGTTGCCCCGGGCCTAAAATATCTGCCCAAACAGCCGAGCACTGATGAACGCTTTCTCACTGGCTCCCTGCGGGAGCTCCCCGCCCTCTACTGCCCAAACCTTGGGGATGTGCCTAGACTCGGCGCAGCTCACATCCCAGCCAACTGCGCTCAGAACAAACCCCTGGCGAGCGGCCAGGAGGCTCCCTCCTAGCCACCGCCCCCCCACCTCCATACAATACAAGATCTTCCTTCCTCAGTTCCCTTAAATCACAGCCTGGGGAAACCTCCTCCGAGACTGCATCCCGCCACGCGCCAGCATGTCTGGGGGCAAATACGTAGACTCCGAGGTAGGCTATGGTGGGGGCGCGCCGGCTGGGGCGCGCGTGGAGTACCCGCTTCTGCTATCTCCCACTCCAAATATTCCGACTGCTTTCGCTGCCCCGGCCCTCTCTCCCTCTCCCTCTCCCTCTCTCTCTCTGGCCACTTTGCGGCCCTCCTCTCCAGTTGGCACCGCCGAGGAATGGGCCTGGGCGGGGAGGTGAAGAGAAGCCAGGAATGCTTTTTATTTTCCTGTTGGGCAGGGGATGAGGAGAGTCCCTGGGCTAGGAGAGCGTGGAAAGGGGGATCTCAGGGTGCTGGGGCAGGGTCTGCCAACCATAGACTCATTTCCTCTATGGATCCACGGTGTTTGCGTGTCATGGGACCGTGTGGTCCACCCTCTGCTTTCTGAACGTGCGTGCCTGCTTGTGTGCGTGTGTGTGTGTGTGTGTGTGTGTGTGTGTGTGTGTTGCAGGAGGCTGCGGGTCACTTGCCCACGTCCTGAGTCCAGTCCCTACTAGCACCCGCTGGTCCTAGTGGTGGTGTACGTTTGTTTGTGCCTTCCTAAATTCTTGGGCCATCTCAAGAACTTCTTCTTGGCTCTTGGTGGCAGGGGTGTTTTGAGGTGTGTGTGTGTGTGTGTGTGTGTGTGTGTGTGTGTGTGTGTGTGTTGTGTGCGTGTGTGTCCCTATCCCCAAACTACCACCACCACTACCAATGTTACCTTTCCGGAATCTAAGTTAGGGAGAGAGACAGACACAGAGAGGAGAGACAGCGATGAGAGATAGAGAGACAGAGACACAGAGAGCCAGAGACAGACAGACACCTGGGTCCTTGGGTCTGTCAACAGAAGAATTCAGGAAAGATCTGAACACAGGTAGGGGTGATAGGAAAATTTATCGGAAAAAAACATGTCATTTTAACCATCTTGTGCCCCAAGGGTTACGGAGGGAGACTGGGGATGGGCTAAATGGGGGGGGGGGAGTTGAAGTCGGTTCTGACTGGTGGATGCCCTATCTCTTTTCTATAAGGTGGTAGTGCCAAATATTTAGGGCCCCCTCTTTTATCTCCTCATCCTTCCCTTTTCTTCCTCATTCATTTATAGCCCCTCGCCCCCATTTCCTGGTCAGTTCATCCTGCTCTCTGCAAGTTGTATAGGCCGCAGTTCGCTTCCTGTCACCAGCAATCCATGCATCGGGGAGACCTCGCCCCCCCCCTAAAATCAGCTGCTCGGCTTCAGGCGGGGCAGCCTGGGGTTGACCTGAGGGCGGGTCCTGGGAGTCACGCAGCGGGAGGCAGTTATAGGTCGTTTCTCGTCCCAGAGATGGGAGCATGTGGAATGGTGACCACCACAGCAAGTGACCAAGAGCCTTAGTGGGAGTAAGCAGGCGGGATGAGGGGAAGCGTGGGGGACTCCATCAGGTGCGAAAGAGGCGCGCCAAGGCGCAAGGAGAATGGGGATGCTGCGTGGGTCTGGGGGTCTCGCTGGTTTTAACTGGGAGGGATAAAAGGAAACGGTCTAAACGGGACCAGGATGGTGGGTGGATGGATCAGGTGCAGCGTGGTGGACGGGAGTGGAGCGGC